CACCACCCCATCCACCACATCAATGACCCACCCAATCCACCACACTACACCACACCACCTATCCACCACATCACCCCACCCCATCCACCACTCCACCCCATCCACCACACCACCCCATCCACCACACTACACCACACCACCTACTCTCACCTCTCTATTAAACGTACCGGGACGTTTATTTTTTTTCGCCTCAAAATCCACCCGGTACATTCTTATTTTAGACGGTACGTTTATTTCTTTTTTTCAAAATCGGAAAAGTTCCGGGAAAATTTGCGGTCCTGAACATAAAATGACAAAAAAACACCACTTCTCCCAGCCGACAGCAATGGAAAATGTCCCGGTACGTTCTGTTTTGCACGGTACGTTTACGAAGTTTTCAAAATCACGGCAAGTCTAAGAACATATTACCTCCCTTTTACATGTAAATTATATTTGGGAACACATATTGTGTTGAAAATATGAACTATAACGGGCGTTATGTAAAGAAAAATTGGCGAAATTTGCAACATTTTTCACGCAACATGCACACACATCTCACTCAAAACTCCTTGCTCAGAACGATCTTTTTCTTGGGACTATGTTAAAATAATACCACAAAACAATGTATTCTAGCACTTACAACATGTGATACTCTCAAAAAGTCGAAAATCCTACCACAAATATGAAAATTTAGTGCTGGAAAAAGTCCAATTCTCATGCAGTGAAATACGTAAACATGCAGTTTCTCACGGTCGGCAGAGCTCACTTTTTGTAGGGGGGGGGCAATTATTTATATTCTTTGTTATTATAGATAAAACTCTTTCTCAAATATAGACATAAGCAATTTGCAATTAACAAAGCTAATTATCATGTAAAAGACCAAAAACAGGAGTATAATTGCAGTCTAATGTATGAACTTTCACAGAGAAATATTTTGCAAAAAGTGTCCCCCCTTCAAAAAGAATGTCTCAGTTTTTTCTAAGAACTGAGTTCTAAACTTGAAGCCCCGCCTCTGCTCATTTGCATACTCACTGGACACGCTTCAAAGCGTAGCAGGGTAACATAAAACCCTTGACTCTGGACTGTTGTGAAATGCAATGTGTTACAATGTTGCCATTTGTTTTAACTATGATTATGATGTAGCATTATATATTTTTTTTGATCATTTACTTTGGTAAAAAGAGAAATATGCAATGCATAAATGGAAATTTGGGAAAGATAAAAAAGAAATAATTATGTTTAAGTCACTTTAACATTAAATACTTGTAGATGATTATAAATTCTTTTGCAAATGGCTTTTACAAACTAGTATCACAATTTGTATAGCGCAATTATGTTAAGCATGTTCAACTTCATGAGCTCTAAATGAAATCTTACTGATAGTTACCAAGCTGTAAAAAATCTACTCTTATTTCAAAACTTCATATTACTGTCCCTGCTGATGTAAGATACAGTATGCAATGCAATGATCAACAACAAATTGTATGAATGCAGAGAAGTCATATAAAATTGATGTATGACAGTGTAATATATATTACACAGCAAGTGATGCATATACTCCTCAAAAGCCTGTAAGAATACAGGCTGTTGAATTTGATAATTTTCCAGGGGGCACATTTATTTTGAGGGTATATTTATTAGGTTTTGAAGATTTGTTGGGGGAATCATATTCAAGGGGTATGTTTATTCAGGACCTGTCAATAGTTGAAAGTGACAAGGTCATATAGACGCATACATACATACACCATGAGAACACATTTTTGGAGCATAGACGTTGCTTAGATGTCAATTTTTTAAATTTTCTGGGGGGTACTTTTATTCCAGGGGGTACTTTTATTACATTTTGAAGATTTGTCCGGGGGGTACTTTTATTCCAGGGGGTACTTTTATTCGAGAGGTGAGAGTATCCACCACATCACCCCACCCCATCCACCACACCACACCACTCCATCCCATCCACCACATCACATCACACCATCCCATCCACCACACCCCATCCACCGTCCCACCCCACACCGTCCACCACCACACCACCCCATCCAGCACACGACCCCAACCACACCACACGTTACCTTGTCTTGTAAGACTTGCAGTGTGTCTGTGTACTCCTTGGGTAGGATATGGTTGAAGGATACCAGCCCTTGGCCTAGCTTGATGTACAGCCCTCCATTCATGACTGCCCCGTACACAATCCTGTCTGCTGCACGCTGGTGACAGCCCTGGATCTGTTGTCGGTACTCTAAACTGTCCTGAAAGAAGGAACAACAACAATTCAGAGACATGATGTCTTCATGCCATTTGCAGTTTGGCCTTACTACCTAACTACCCGGTACATCACTTACAGGCTTTAAATACGTATTTCATACGTATCATGCATTTCATACGTATGTTAATGTGCCAATCCCGATGAGTACAAGGGATTCAATAACATCTTATGATACTAGTAAGTGTATTTTAATGTCAATATTTGCTAATGTTTGTAATACTTAGTATGTATATTTTAAACTTTATAAATTCAACAAAATTCAGGCTATGTAAGTCTGTACGTTAAATAAAGATTCCTTCTTTCCACTTACTACTACATGTACTACATGTAGCTAAGCACATGTTACTGCAGTTAGTGTTACAGTTACGTTTTCAATGAGTCTGGTAGTTACATGTATGTATGGACAGTCCTACCTCTGCCAATCCCCACAGGGAATACTTGTAATCCAATGATATCAGCAGGCCAAGGTACAGTGACCTACAGTATGGGTAGAACAAAGACCTGTGGTATGTTGTCCATTTAAATAACTATAACTCATTATCATATTTCACAAGTTTAACACCATTCAATTATATGGTATTAAGAATTTGTAGTTATGTTTACCGAAGGAAAATATATTTAGTTTTGCTCTGTTTCTTCCTCTTCTTCTCCAAACAGTAACCTATGACCTGACCAATGGCATGACTTGTTGACGTCTGTCACCATGGTGACTGGTGTTGGGTTACGTAATGTTGCAATTTCATGGTCTGCTCTGCTCCTGTCACCATATACTAGTAGTACATGTATGTGAATGTGTTTGAGTAAGAATTAACAGAGCAGACCATGTCCGAAGGTAAACATTATATGCATTTGCTTTGCAAATGTTACTTCTCTAGTTAATAATTGGCCTCCATTGGTTGATAGTGACCCCATGATGGCTAGAAATTACATTGTATATGTGCCCCCCCCCAAAAAAAAATCTAGCACTTCTATACATGTACTTTGAATTTGACTTACCTAAGAAAACGCACACTACCATTGATCGTTATCCAGAATCTCCTTTGCCCAACTCTGTCAAGTGTTAAATAATAAGCCGTTCCACCCAGTGGCACACTCAGCAGTACAACTTTCCCCCAGCCAACCCTGGTGGAAGTCCTTCCTCCATGCTGTGTGGCAGTTGTACACAATCTGTGCTTCCCTGTCCACCATTGTCTCCCAGCTGCAGTACTAGTTCTGCCTGATATACACACAGACTGCCAGAATCTTCCCATCGCTTCATGCAGAGACACCCGACATACCATATGCATGGTTTACAATCTGAAAGGAATGGACATTTGTATATTACTATAAGTATTGTATTACATTATACATGCTTTCGAAAACTGAAGTGTATGGAATGAAATGTAGATTTATGTAACGTTAAAGATGTTAAATGTACAACCTCCGCGAAAAGCGTAAAATTCAAACAAATATTTCAATTGTTAGCAGTTTGAGCAATAAACTTCGACACCCCACACTTTCCGATTTTGTTGTTTTTTTACAGCAAGACTTAATAATAAGTCCATAACTAGTTAATACCATAATAACATAATAATGATCTTTAAAACTATGCCGGACTTAGGACCCCTGCCCGGAACTTACGACCCATTATGTTATAACGCTGTAACAGCATATAACGTTATTCTTAGTGTCAGAAAAATTATAAAATCAACGTTATAACGTTAGTACTTTTCTTTAGAAATAAAACATAATTAGTTGTGGCTGACATTCGACGTATTTGATCTTTTATGGTGCATCCAACAAAATTTTTGTGCACCCAATTTTTCAGGTTGGGTGCACCAATGCACCTATTCCCATTCAAATGAATTTCGAGCCCTGTCTGAAGGCGTTGTCAAAAGAAAGTACTGTAACAAGTTAATCATCCATACTCATAACCAGTGATCAATCCGCAGCTTCAAGTTCCCGAGCTTTGTTTTCCAGAGACATCCAAACGATAAATATAAGGGTCGAGGCTTTATGTTTGAAACCAAGGACATTGTTGAAACGAAGTTCAGAGTCCATTTGGACAGAAATTATAAATCAAGGTAAAATTTATCATGGTCCCTTGGACTCCCTTCCTTAAAGTAAGTAATTCATGTCATTCCCCGCACGCCAAAGAACTGTCATACAGTGTTACGCGTGTTAACATTACTGCTGCGTGTTGGACATTCCCTGAAAAATATGGATCTAGAACTCCTTCCCCTTACCTTATAATAATTTGTTGTTGTTGCAAACTTCCATCCATAACACCGCTCGATCCTAGTAGGTCAGGGTCCCCAGGTCAGGGAGGAGCGACGCATGAAATACACAGTAGAGCATACGTATCCGCGGATTCGAACAATTTGTTGCCGCATACAATTTCTTTCTACAACGTTAGATAACGCTAATACTCTTGCAAATGAGAAAAAACATTTTAAAGTATTCTATTTGTTATTATCATTATTATTGTAGTGACTTAGAATCTTTGACGATGATTCATTTTAGAGTAAAACGCGGATGTAGATTCGGTTGGTTACAATTTTTTTGCAGCCAAACTGGCGACCTTTACCCTCTAGCCGGACAAGCATGGCGACCGTGCAGTTTTCTTCTGTGTGGTCAGAAGCTGACCCTAGCGAGCGGCCAGTGGTCATCGTTGGTCAAGTGCATAACCTGAAGAAGGTGTCTTGGGACAGCGTGCGAGGCAAGCTTCACCCAAGAGTGACGCCTGAGGTTTGTATACTTCTGGTTAGAACGTGGTGTAGGTGGTCGTGTGTTGGGCTGTTCCAAACTGGGGAGGGGTGGGCTCCAGATAGCCTCTACCAGGCTTGTAGAGGTGGTAGGAAAGAGTAGAAATCTGCCAAATAGAGAAATATTAGCATGGCAAGGGAGTTTGTCCGTTGAGAGAACATTTCGCCGCACCCCAAATGTCCTCAACGGACAAACTCCCCTGACATGCTTATCTCTCTATTTGGCCGATTTCTAAGTAGTTCTTTTCCAGCCGCCTCCCCAAGCCTGGTAGAGGTTAGGCTATGCTATGGGCTTAATTTTTGGGTGGCTGATAGCTTTCCGGATCCATAGTCTCCTCTAAGCTGAATGGATACTAGCAAGTAATGAATACTGTTAAGTAATACTAGTAAGTAATACTGTTTTAACAGTATTACTTACTAGTATTACTTAACAGTATTCATTACTAGTATTACTTAAAAGTAATACTAGTAAGTAATACTGTTAAGTAATACTAGTAAGTAATGAATACTAGTAAGTAATACTAGTAAGTAATGAATACTGGTAAGTAATACTAGAAACTTATCTCTGCGATGAAGGACAGAAAGTTCTGGAGATCTAACTTTGTATGCTCCACCTCTTCGGAGGATGATTGATGATGATGATGAATACTAGTAAGTAATGAATACTAGTACTAGTAGTACATGCCCCCCACAAGGCTCAAAGGTCCACTTTTTGGTCCACTTTTAATGTATTTTATTAGGTCCTAGATTTTTCTTGAAAAGATGGACTGGAATCGTTTGAAAAACTGCTCCCTTTGTCATTGAATAAAAATTTATCTCTGATTTTTTCATGGAAATCCTCCCAAAAATGCACCAAATGCCATTTTAGAAGGTTCATTTTTCAATCGCGCCTTTGTCATGAAGTGACAGTTAACTTTATACATTAAGCACTTACATTGTAGTAGCTATAGTTAGACCCTTCCTTCGAGTGGGGGTCGAGCACACCGTGCGCATGTGATCACCACGTGTGTTCGAACAGGTAGCAACGACACCTGTTCGAAGGAAGGGGTTCTAGAAAGGTAACGTTACGGATGGAGGAGACTTGAAAAGATTAAAGAAATGACAGGACACGTTATCTCTGTCTCCGTGTTTTCTCTACGCCGCCGTGACACCTTCGGCGCTCGAGGTCCTCTCAAGCAGTGGGAAGAACCACCCCCCCCATTCAAAATCCTGGCAACGGGCATGTAGTAAGTAATTTTTGTAGTAGAAATCGGCCTAAAAAGGGGATATAAATTATTGGCGAGAGGAGTTGGCTGGCCAGAGAGGCTAGGGTCCATTTCCCGTGCAGGCTGCAAAGGAGTCTGGTGGAGACTATGAAAATCTTTTCAGGTCAGCAAAAAGTTTGGCCCCTCCAACAGCTTATTACCTTCGCCAAGAAGGTTATGTTTTCACTCACACAGGGGTGTTTGTGTATGTGTCTTTGTGTGTCTGTAAACACAAGAACTTGAGAAGGATTGAGTTGATATTTGGTCGGTGAGTAGGTCTTGATGAGACCTGGAAATGATTAAATTTTGGGCCCCCTAGCGGCTGCTTATGCTACTGCATCTGAACTTTCTGTTTTGACATCTCCTGACCTAGAAAAGAAAAAATTACTTTCACACATACAAGTACAACAATATCTTTAATCTGAATAGAGAAGAAAATGCACAAAAGCTGTTATTCATGATGTCTAAAGTCTCTGAAGTTATGTCATTGTTGGTCAGGACTTTTCTGGAAACATTTGCACTCATACTACTAACTGTTGTAGATATGTGAAATTCAATAGTCCAAAGTTAAGGAGATGATGCAGGCCTCGAAATTAACTGTTCTTCCTATTGTCCCAGCACTGTTCCAAAATAAATTTAACCTGTCCACAGGGGTTTTTCTGAACAGGGGAACAAGGGCGCTGCGCCCTCATGTAACAAACCAGCGCCCTCATATCAATTTTCAGATTGAAGCCTAAGTCTTTTTCAAAATCATTTTTTTCCAGTAAAAATACAAAAACAACACCACATAACAATACATTCTAGCATTACAAACTATGTTACTCTCATAAAAATTCCACAATCTTAACACAAACTTGAAAATTTAGCTCTAGTAGTAAAAGTTTGAATGGAATAAACAATGTTCATTGAGAACTTGCTCAAGACATGTAGCTAGACCTCCTTCATTTGCGTACTATAGAACAGGCTCTGAAGTGAAACATGAGACCTGAGTTTGTAGCAGCTTGGATGAATGTGTTGCAATTGTGCCATGGGAAAGGTTTCAGCTTGTGGCAAACCCAATGTTGTCATCTGGAGCTACTAGTAACATTGATCACTAATTGTGTAAGTGTATAAAGGGTGATTTGCAGATTGTGTGTACTGTTGATTGTACTTATATTTTATAAGTGAAATATGCAATGCATGAATAGAAATTTGGGAAAGGTACATTGAGGTTAAGAGTTCAAATTTCCCCCCTCAAGTAGCCTCAAAATGTCCCATTTCAACCTCAAATTTTCAAAGGCTTCACATGGCGGAAGGGGGGATACCCCCCTTCCGCACCAACCCCCCCTCGGACCCTTCGCTCCCTCGCCGTGATACTGCTCCCTCATACCAAATTTTTCTAGAAAAAACCCTGACTGTCCCGAAGTAAGGATGAACTGTCCCAACCTGTTTTTTTTAAGTATTAATTGTATGAATAAAACTTGAAGTCAACTTTATTTTGCTTATGTTCACTCCAAGGCGCATTATAATTGTAGAGTAGACAGGAAATTCGGATGCAAAAGCCGGGACGTGTGCCTGATAAACAAAGAAGGGCTGACATTCTGATGTTGGTTATTTTTCTATGGTCCCAAAAAGTGTCTTTGTAGTTGTCCCGGCCTAAATTTTATTGGTCAGTGGCCATAGGGACACTGTTAATTTTGATCCCTGATGATGATTTTTAGACATTGAAATTATCTAACATCATGCGCCAAAAAGCAGTTACTCAAGCAACTGGATATGCTTTTGAAAACGTCAGACATTTCAGCTAGTATCCACAATAGTTTGTGCTTATAAACCTGCATTTCTCCTCTGGTCTCTCCGTCACTGACGAAAGGTAGTGGATACTAGCTGAAACATCTGACGTTTTCAAAATCATATCTAGTTGCTTGAGTAACTGCTTTTTGGCGTATCATATTACCTGGATGTCTAACCTTCATTGACGTATCTAACATCGTGATTGTTTTCTGCAGACTTTCAAGGAAGCTGTGAGCAGCCTGCACCCTTCCCCGACTGACAGCTGTTCTCTGTGGTTAAACAATGCGACTGTAGCTGCCCTGCCCAACAAGGCCAGTCGACACAACACGCCGGCACACCCACATGCCCTGACCAAGCTGGTCCGCAGCTGCATGGCAGGCTGCAGGGAGGAGTGTGTTGTGGTGAGTATTTAGACATCAGTTCATGCTCCTGGCATTTACTGTTTATCAGTGAACATGTCTTAGTCAGTTAAGGCCACACCAATTTAATTTAAATTGTTGGTTCTTGGATTTTTTCATAAAATATATGACAGGGCGAAAAAAATAAAAAGTAGAAACAGGTCAAGGCAGCCTATTTTAGCCCCAAGTGCCGTAGCCTTCAAATTCTACCCAAACTTTCACACATATACAAATGAAAACTACTCTCCTCTTAACATCCGAAAACTCACAAATTACAGAAAAAGTGGGATCCTTTGTCTTCCTCTGTCTTCAAAAGAGAAGTCAAACCCAGTAGTATTTACTAGTAGTTTCTTATTTGTTATCAGTAGTTCTGTGTGTACTAATCATCTGTTTTTCTTTCTTTCACCCAGTTTTTACACCAAATGTTTCTTCTGTTCCTGCCCTCAGGCATGAATTTGCAATAAACAATACAATTTTATGGCTCTCAGTGGCCAATATGAGATGTTGTCACATCGGCACACCAAATCTGTAAGGTGTTTTTGGCACCCAAACAGACAGATTAGCCTAAGACTCGAAGAGGCTCGGTGGGCGTCACTCCACCGTATAGGTGGGGAAGTCGTGTAAAGTGCCTTTCCAAGGGCACAATGTCGGGCCAACGCTCTAACCGTTGCGCCACCGACGCCACATATTTGCAATAAAAAGTTGAATTATTGTCTACCTTTTCAGCTGGTGTGTGAGAAGAGTGAAGTGTTTGCTGCAGGCTGTGCTGTGTCTCGGGTATTTCCTTGTTTCACAAGGAAGTCAGGAGCATCACAGAGGCGCAAAATTGTGGTGGAGTTTGTCCTGGTGGGCGACGGCGAGAATAAGACCATCTCGGAGGATGAGGCCAGCTGTCTGCAGGCAGCATGTGACGCCGTACGTTTGTCGGCCAAGATCGTTGACACGCCTTGTAATGAGATGAACACTGATGACTTCTTGAATGTAAGTTCCCGTTACCTTTCCTATCGGGCGGCAATCATACTGTAACCGTTTGACATGCCCGTAACCAGGATTATGAATGGGGGGGTTCTTTCAAGGGACTACTCAAGGGACTAGCGAGTGGCAAAGGCGCGAGGTTCCTAGGGGGGTCCAGGGACATGCTCCCCCGGGAAATTTTGAAAAATCAACCATCTGAAATGGCGTTTCCCGCATTTTTTTTTAGAGGATTGCACAAAAAAATCAGAGATAACTTTTTTTCAATGACAAAGTGAGCCGTTTTCGTACGATTCCAGTCTCACTGGTGACACGAATCAGTCCATCTTTTCAAGAAAAATCTTGGACCTTTAGATAAAAAGTGGACCAAAAAGTGGACCTTTGGGCCTTGTGGG